CGCGGCGTATAATGCCTTGGTCTTTACTAAACCAACTGTTAGATATAGACCTCTACTTGTATGCCGCAATGAATGATTAACTTCAAAGACAAAAGAAGAGGACAACCCCTGGACAACCATGCATGTTCTTGTTCGATATAACTGTGGTGTGTGCCCTAGTAGGTAATATGCAGCAATAGCAATAGAGAGCTAGAGGCCACCACCTGGTCAGCGATTGCTTATTTGTGTAATATTTATTGAGCATGGTGCACGATCTTATATAGTACGCGCTAGAGAGAGAGAAAGAGAGAGAGCGCGAGCGCTAGAGAGAGCGTACGCGCTAGGCGAAAGAGAGAGTGTGAGGGGGACAGAGAGAGAGCGTAAGCGCTAGGAAACTTAGTTACTTCTCACGCCTTCTCGCTCACTCCATCTTTCTCTGTGACTCTCTCCCTCTCTTTTTCTCTTTTTTTTTGTGCGCGATATATATATATATATATATATATATATATATATACTCGCCTCTCTCCGTTCTTCTACTTTCTCACTTCCTTACTCCCCTCTCGCGGATTGTATCGCTCACGACCAGTCAAGCATGGAAAAACATTTGCAGGTAAAGCCCCGGGCACAACGGATCGTACAAAATTTTGTCGTGGTAGACCCCTAAAATATTTGTCGTGGCCAAATCTTGCAACATGCCCGAAATGTATTTCGAGTGGTCACAAGGACTACTATACATTAAAGATGGTTTGGCGAAGGGGACGCGACAGAAACAAAGATATGATGTGGTTATGTCGTGGGTGTGTCGCAAGTCAGTACGTAAGTCAGTAGTAGGACAGACTCACGACAACCAGAAGACATAGATACCACAAAAAATCGTGGAACAAAAAAGGTGCATGTTCAATTTTGCCTCACGACGGCAAGTCGATGCCACGATGCTCAAAATTTTGTTGGACTGTCTTGCGACGATCCCCGATGACCCACGATTTTCCCAAATTTTCTGTCGTGTCGTGGCACAAATGCGTCGTGGGTTCGTTATGACCGAGGCTTAATTATATAGTGTAATCATAGATATATACATATATCAGGAGTAGATAATAGATTCTACCTACTCCTATATCTACTCTTGATATATCTACTCCTGATATATATATAACTATATATATTATCAGGAGCGTATATTTGTCATTATACGCTCCTGATATTATTTCCATGATTAGTAGCGTTCATGAAATATTTCTCCCAATAGATGGCGCAACGAAGTTATATCCTGTTGCATTGGTACGTGAGCTGGCGAAACGCTATAGCATACGCTATAGCAACAACAGATGAGATGATACCCACCATTGGGGGTATAGCTCAGTGGTAGAGCATTCGACTGCAGATCGAGAGGTCCCTGGTTCAAATCCGGGTGCCCCCTCTAATTTTTCCACTGCCCTGTTTTTCTTATGGTGGACATTTTACTAACAAATTCTTTGACCTTAGGCCATAAACATTGATAACAATATTTTTTAATAGCAGCATATCATTTAAACTAGTAGGTATTTAGAGAAATGAGAAGAGTCAGCTTTGTGTTGACCAGACAGACCAGGGGCAGGGGCAGGAGGCAGGACAAATGACCATTTTATATAAACAAACAGTGAAACACGTGAACACATTTAAACAGTAACATTAATGTCATTATAAGTAACGTTATGATTTTCAATTGTGTTTTTTATTAAAATTAATAGTCAAATCGAAAACTAAAACATTGGCAGTCAACAAAGTATCAGGTAAAATCGTAAAAACAAAAAAACTCCAATATTCTAGTACCCGGTAGGCCTATAGGTATAAGTGCATCACTGCATGCAATGCACGAATGTACATAAATGGCAATGCAGCCACCTATGAAACTTAGCCACACAATCATACCAAGTCACGATTTCTATGTGTTTTAGTACACTCCCACAATTCAAGAGGTTATAGCTATCGTCACACTTCACTCCACAACCTTGCCACAGCCTTAGTTTTTGCCTAGTATCACCAGTAATAAAACTTTCTCTTGTTTGTTATAAAAACATCACACCCAAGCTCAGATGTGTAAATGTATAATGAAATTATTGTACCTGTATAACACTTATTATGAGTCTTTCGGATCATTTTCGGAGTTTATTGCAATCGGAGCACATCATTGCTCCAGTAAAGCTTTTACAGAAAATATACAGCTTACATATTGTAACATTTATTCATTGTAAAATAGTTTGTACATCACATAATACTCTTGATACAACCACATTTTAATAGCACAGAATCTTTTATCGACAAGCGGGTACATCTCAAAATATACAGTGTAAAAAAATCGATAAAACTTGTCATTTCACGCAAATACGGCACGCTGAAACGTGAGATTCGTGTAGAGTAATAAAAGAGATGTCACACGCTTAACCCTGTGCAGACAATAGGCCTGCTTGTGTTGTGACTTCCACCATCTATAGTTATTCCCCCATTAAACATGAACAAGACATTGCAAGACAAATAAAAAATGACAGTTCACGAACTTCATCGTTCCCACTAAAAACTAAACACAAGGCAGAATATAAGATAATTGTTCTTGTGTTCTGTGAAGCTCAAATCTCCACAAAGAAATTATTATGCTGTTTATAGTTGCAGCTGCCACTTATCATATCAATTTTTTTCCAAGGCATCCGAGCTTTGAGCATCATAGCATCACTCAGAGATCATCTTTCCAGGGAGTATTGACTTCTCCAGAGTATTACACACTTGAGATTTTATGCAGAAAATGATAGTACATATCTACATACAGATGTCACTGATATGAGATGTGACTCAATGCTGAACACGGACGGATTTAGTAAGAAAGAAGTGCAATGGTGATCAACAGCATTAGAACGGGTTCGCTCACATGCATAGAAGGCGCTCCATTCAGAAACTCGAGGAAAAGATTCGTCTTCCAGGGAGACAGCCCATCATCGAAGAACAACGGACAGTTGTCATCTGTAAATAGCATACATGCATGCATGAGAGATCTCTCCTTGCAATTTTTTTGTGTTGTATAATTATACGAAAGCATTAGTCGCGATCAGCTTGCTGAATGGTCAACAAAATATCTAATCTCTTTCTCTCTCTCTCTCTCTCTCTCTGTCCGTCTGTCTCTCTTATCACTCCCTCCGTCCCTCTCTCCCCCACACCCTCAATATTTCTTCAAGCGTGCTACTCTCCCTCTCTTTCTCTCCCTCCTCCTGCCTTTCTGTCAACATCCTTCTCGCCTATATACATATAAACATTAACGCTATGGCTACTTAAAATGGCAACATGTCAGTCTATTAACTTTTAGAAGTAAGCTATTCTGGCAATGCAGCAGAACTCACATTTGCGTTCATTTTCCGAAAGAATCAGCCGCAGACTAACGCCCTCTAGTGAGCTGTTGCTGTATGGCTTCTGGAATTCACCACAGGCGGAGCGAGCCGAGCGGGAGATGTAGATATCATTGTACGAGACTCTGCGATAGGACTGTAAAAAACCACACATATGCGTGTCCACAATCTCCAAAAACCCGCATTACAGAAGAACGATTCATTGTCTATCGAAACCTCACAACCTTGTGCAGAGAAACATGGAAATGTATTTATCAACGTTTACTAACTTCTAATATGTATGTAAATATAGTAAAATTATGTTTGTTGTATATACACAGCTCACAATATATAGACACTGTTTATTGACACTTTACAGCCTTTAGTTCTATTCCTGCTGTTACTATTTACCAATAACACATACTGGATAGTGTCTTTGTGGTAACAATATCTACGTAGTTAATTATCTGGTTACATAGTACAGTGTCTATGTAGACCCATATCTACATAGTACATTATGCAGTGCCCTATCTATGCCCTATTATGTGGCCCTTTACTGTGATACAGTGTAGCCTCCAGTAATACACTTACCCAGCATCTGTATTTAGAGAATGCATCATCTTTGTCGTACGTCACCAGGAACGAATAGGTGTCCTCCTTCCAATAGCCGATACACTGCAGGTTATAATCAATGATATCTGAAACAGACCCGAGGCAAAATATGACAGGCTACACCGTAATGTTTAGGTGCTAGATGTTGCCACCTTAAGTGAACTAGCCATGTTTTGCTATCATCTTTCATTGTTCACGCACTTGCTAGATTGAAGAACAGAGTACACAAAAAAACGTTAAATCACACTGTTATGTCCTAACTTATAGCATCTTTCATAATTATTTATGAAATTTCAAGTATTACAATAAATTACCAGCGCAGCAATTTAGCAAAAAGGAGAAAGAACATCATACTAAAGTGATTAGATAAATGATATACAGGAAATCCCAAACAATCACCCATATATCACTGTAATCGTTATTGGTCTATCGTACGTACCATATTTGAACTGCACGGGTCTGGCCCTGTAATCCAGTGACATGCATCTTTCCACGTCGATCTTTATCGTGTTAGGGTCATCGGCGCAAATGTGGAAGTCCGACTCCCAGATGGTGCACTTTTCCTCGGGATCCCACGGCCGGGCCGTCGGACCTGAATGCATGCGGCAAAGCATTTACTTGTTAAACCTGAAGCATGCATACATACAGTAAATGCAGGCAAATAAACTGCGAGACAGGCAGACAGACAGCTAGCCAGAGAGCTAGTCAGAGAGACAGAGAGAGATAGAGATAAACATATATAATGTTGAGACAGGCTGACATGTTGTCTGATAGACCGACCAACAGAGAGACAGACAGGTAGACAGCTAAACAGACAGAGAGACACATAGATGAGAGAGACAGGCAGACAGACAGATACATACCGATACGTGTGGTAAGCCGTGATTCACCGTCTTGCTTGAATATGTATTTGCCTCTGATTGGACACTCCACTGCATATGGACTTGCTGATAGGTAGGTGCTGTATCTGCATAAACCCAGTAAGTAGCACCACTCTCATTGTTCACAGTTCTAATTTCGTAAGAGGCTTACTGGCAAAATTTCACACATTAATGAATCTATGCATTATTTCTTATACTTATAGTGTTGTTATTATTTATTAATGCTAGGTGCAGTCAGTAGATGGTGTTAGCTCTGCCTACCTCCAGTGAGGGTTGTTGTTGAATGAGGACCAAGCGCACACTGCACGGAAGTCAGGGTTAGGAAATGCCCGCCCCTGCCGCCAACGAATCACATTGTGATGGCGAGTAAGAAAATCTATGCATATGTAATCCACTTGACTGAAAGAAACATACAATAACTTGTTAATTTATGAATGATAATTAATATTAAACAGAGTAAAAATACTGAAATATGCAAGTAGGTATGAGTGTAGATATGCAGGATATAGTTAGTTAGCTAGCTAGCTGGTTAGGCAGATAGGTAGGTAGGTATATACACAGATAGGCGTGCACATAGCTAGGTTGGTTGCTAATTAGGTAGGTAGGTAGATAGGTAGGTAAGTAGGCAAATATGCAGTTGGTAACTAAGAAGGTGAAGGAGTAAGGTAGGAAGGTAGATAGGTAGGTAAGTACGTAGGGAGGTAGGTAGGCAAATATGCAGTTGGTAACTAAGCAGGTAAACATGGTGAAAGAGTAAGGTAGGAATGAACGAAGAAAGGCAGAAAAGAAGAAAAGAAAAAGGACTAACAGAAGATAATAGAAGAGGTTATTAACATTATTTTCAATTACATTGGGGTTTAATTACATTAATCATGGAACTTTGATGTTCAATACAGATTCAAAATAAATACAACCGGAAATAATAATTTCCACTTCATTTCGCCACTTAATTATCGGGTTTACACAAAACCCGTCCTCGAGACGAAGTGACCAAAGTTCCCAATCCTGTACACCCACCCCACCCACCGCCACCCATCTAACCCCCACTTGGACAACAACGTGGATTGCAGCAGATGCAGGGTCACCTAGTACATACCATCCGCCGACGCCCAGCTTGGCAACCATGTATCTGCTGTCACGCGACTCCTTGCAGACGAGATAGATATCCTCAGCGGGGCCCTGGTCGGGTCTACTGTGCTCATGTACCGTCGTCGAGTTGATCTTCACCCCCGAATTGTAATTGGCCGTGTTCACCCAGCGGCCGGTGTAGTTGTCCGGGAACTTGCATCCGGGCTCAACCGTCTCCGATTTCACTGTCAGAACGCGTTGCAACGTTAGAGACGAGTTAAGTTCCACATTTTTGACATCGGCGCACATGCGCTACGAATTCGATTGCGGAGTATGAAGCATGCATGTTCTCCACACTAATACAGGGTCTGTAACAACTAATGCAAAACGTTTCTTCCAAAGTTTTCCAAGAAATTTAAAGGTCCACGTTCCATTTCAATTGCTGCACTGTTGGTTGATATGTAGGTAGGTAGGTAGTTAGACTAGGTAGGTAGGAAGGCAGGCAGGTAGGTAGGCAGGCGGGCAGGCAGGCAGGTATAAGTCAGGAGGTAGATACGTAAGTAGGTAGAGAGTAAAGCTTCTAGTGTCTGTATCTAGTCACTCTCACCTTGCCTAAGTGTAAGCATCTCGTATCCTTCACGAGCATTGCGCAACTCATTGCAGGAGGCAGTCCTAGATTTAGTCATCAGCAGCGGCTGATCAGTACGGTCCACCTGGGGCAAGAGAGATGGTCAGATGTATACGCGCCAACATTAAACATGCAGCCAACAATGTTTGATGTATACGTGCCAACATTAAACATGCAGCCAACAATGTTTGATGTATACGTGCCAACATTAAACATGCAGCCAACAATGTTTGATGTATACGTGCCAACATTAA